AAAAAAGAAAGCTACCGTACAGTTTCATCTCAATAACACATGGTAAAATAACATCTTTTAAATAGTAAAATAAAGTAACAAACTTTTACTCAGAATGATTCCAAAAATCTACAAAGAAGAAATATTCAGAATCTGACAATTTTTTTTTCCCCCCCCGTTAATATTCATGGTATAAAAGGATTGCTCCTGTGAAAAATAAGCCAAATATATTTTTTTATTTTTAAATTTAGTTTTTTTTTTCTTTTTTTTTCTCCTACTAGGGTGTACTACAGTCTATTTTATAGCAAAAAGAGCACTAGACAAACGAAGCTTTATAACAAAAAGCCAGGCACTGATACATGGTAAATCTCTGCTTTTTTTGTTTTTTCTTATCTTCACTTAATTGCATCACAAGTAACAAGAATGAAAAAGGCCACAGTTCATATATTTTCACCATTACATAAGTCTATAATACTTGAAATGAGGATGGTCAAACCAGCACTGCACAAAGATGAATCAACCTCAAGTCCCAGGAGAAAGAACATGGTGGTGCTAAAAACCCAACCGAAAGCAAACCAAAACCGAAAGGAAAAGGGAGGGCCCCCCCCGGGCCCTGGCGCCCCGCTGTGTTGGAATTCATCCTGTTCCACCTCTAGGGTTGGGGTTTTATTTTTTTTTTTCCAGTCAACCAGTGGACTCATTTTTTTCTTTTTTTTTTTTTTTTCCACTTTTCACAAGAAAGAGGAAAAAAGTGTAGACTCTCAGCCTTGATAGTTCTTAACCAGAATAGTTGGAACTGTCAAAAAAAATGCTTTACGAATTCTTAACTGATGACTTTGCTCTTGTAAATAGAAGAACAAAGCACAAATTCAACCCCCAAAACCTCGGAAGACTGCATCAGTACAAGTTGCATCACTGGTAGGACTGACAGTTGTAGAAACATCAGTGTTCCTTGCAGCTACACAGAAGACAAATGGCAAAGAAGTTCTAGATGAACAGGTTCCCTACTCAGCATATTCATAAATTACTTGAATGTGGAGGTGGATCAGTTCAGAAAAAGCTAATTCCGTATTTTTTTTTCCCTGCTTTCTTGGAGGGTTTCGTAGCCTGGTTTAATCACCCCAGGGTACAGCTTTCTAAAACCTTCCTTGCTTCGAACGAAGCAGCGCCAGCTCAAGCCCCTCGGAGCGGGGGGCTCTCCCTTCCCTGGCCCGGGGAATAACGGAAAAAGCGAAGGGCTACGCGCTGGGGGGGGGTTGGGTTTGGTTTTACATCTTGCCTCGTCTGGAGCAGGCGGTGGCCGGGATCCTCAGCTCCTACAGCCAGGAGGGATGCGGGCGCG